TTAATCTGTCTTTAAAGGTAAAACACATCGCTAATTTTTCAGAATAATTTTACAATGATATATTGATAAAAATCTTTCAGATTTACAAGGATTTAGAAAAGGTGTCTGTCCATAGGCTTTAATACTCTAAGTTTCTAATAACAATCAGCCTTTTTACTAAATCATACAGAAGTATTTATTTTCTTCATTCATGGAGCTATTCTGTCATTTTTATTACCACCCCACACTAAATTTGACTGAAAAAAGCTATTGGCTCCAATATATTTTGATTTAACAAAAACAGAGGCCATCATATTGGATCTTTGTCTCATATGATAATTACTTTATTTTAAAACATTCTTTTACTCGTTAATTGTTACACAATATTCCAAACTCAAAACATAACTTCTTTTGTCTTTCTTTCCCTTTCTTCTTCCTTCTTTTTCTCTCCCTTCTTCCTTTCGTCTCTTCTACCAATATTTTGAGGGCCTAATATATGCCAAGTACCATGTTGAATATTCAGACAAGTAGAAATTATAGAAAAATAATTGTAGTCAATGTAACAAGTCCTATAATGAGATGTAAAATGTACTTCCAAAGCACTTGAACATAACATTGTCACTGCCTGGCATTTGTTTTTTTGTAAAAGATCTCTCTCTGCCACTGGACTTTAACACATCTGGGGCTGAAACCCCATCTTGTCCTCTTATAAACCATCCCCACCATCTCCCACCACTCAGCACAGTGCTCTACACTTACTGGCATCCAGCAAACATTTAGTTAAATAGGTTGTACTCAGAAGAGTACATGCATATGACGATATGGAGGCTTTCTTTAAAATAATGACTTTTAAAAATAATTTTAGAAGTAATACATGCTTATTGTACAGAATTGGAAAATCCAAACAAGTACAAAGAATAAAACTGAAATCACCTACATCCTCACCTCCAAGCAATAACCACAATATATACTTTAGTGCATTTCTTTCCAGTCTTTTCCTTTACGTATTTGGCAAATTACTATTTAGACACTTATACAGACATGTAATTTTGCATTCCACTTTTTTCACTTATATTGTGAACATTTCCCATATCATTAAATAGCCTTAAATATTAGACAGTTTAATGACTGCCTAATATTTTATCATAAGATTTTATGATTTAAACATTACTTGATTATTAGACAGTTATTTACAATGGTTTGTAATGATAAGTAGTTGCACTGCCACAATCAGTATCCTGGGTAGATAAACCTTGTTTGCTGTCACTGGTTATTTTGCTAAGGACTATATTTGGGAAAGTAGCCACACATAGAGAAAAATACTTGGAGATTTATTAATTACATTGTAAGTTCCATTTTTCGTTCCAGCTGAAGTTTTAAAAAATTATTTAGAGTAATTATTACCTATTATTGAAAGAAATGTACCTTTCTTTAAGAGAACTAATTTAAATATTTTCGAAGAACTTGAGTACTCAGAAAGGCAAATTATTTTATTTAAATTAACAATAGTTATTTGCCATAATATCTCCTATCATGTGTCACACATAAGTGTTTATTAATAAATGCTTTTTGAAGAGGTGAATAAATAGAATGGATGAAGTGGAACAGAATAAATGAAATAATATAAAAGAGCTCAAAAAACAAATATGTTTGTAATGATTCCTTTTTGAATACATTAACTAAATGTCAAGTCTTTTTTCATAGCATCTTGAAGATCCTCCTGACAAATTCATCTACGAACAAACTTTGAAATCCAACTATTTTGAACTCTGTTCTGATTATTCATTGCTGTCCCAAAACTTAGTGGCTTAACATATCAATCTATTCTGTGCTCTCATGGTTTTGGCAGCTGACAGGCACAGCCAGGTTCTTACTTGGGATTTCTCATGCACATGAGTCCCATGGTGACTGAGACTGGAGTTATTCAAAGGCTTCATCACTCACATGTCTAGTGCCTGGGCTGGGATGCCTGGACTAGCTGGGGGCAACTTAGATCTCCCTCTCTGCATGAGCCTCTTCAAATGGCTAGCTTGGACCTCTTCACAGAATGGCAGCCTCAGTTTAATCAGATTTACAACTAGGCAGCTGGATTTTCCCACAAGTATTCCAGGAAACCTGAGATGAAGCTGCAACGCTTCTATGACCTCTCCTCAAACGTCATGCCCTGTCACTTCTACCATTGTCTTTTGGGTCAAATAGTCACAGGACAGCCCAGATTCAAGGAGGTGAAAGAACAGGCTCCATCTTTCAATGAGAGAATGGCTGGCATGTCCAGGGAGGAAAGGAAGCGATGGCAGCCGTCTTATACACAGGCTACCACAATTTCTAAACCCTTTCTTCAAATGCCATCTCCATGTCTACCATGTAATTTAAATGTGCTTTTCCCTAACACACACTTGCTCTCTTTCTTTCCTTCCTTCAACTGAAACTACTCCCTTTATTAAAAGTGAAAGGAGGAAGGATCTGTGTATGCCTTGATTCCTTGGACAAATCAGGGTTTACAATTGTCTCTGAATTGAAATCTCAGACATGCTGTTCACCAGCAGAGTGACTTGAGCAAATAACTTCTCTTTATTAGAATGGATAATCTGATGCCCACTGCCTAACATAACACCTACCATATAATAAGCTTATTAACTAATTTGTTTGTTATTTATTGACTAAACAATCTCTTTGAGATTCCATTATGTCCTCTATGAAATAGGGATAATAATGCCCACCACACAGTGACCAGAAACAAATGAACAGGTTAATGTTTGCAAAATACTTAATACAGTCCTTAATACAGAACAGTGAGGATATGGTAGCTATTAGTATTATTATTATGCCTAATATTCTTATCACTGTATATTGTCATCATTATAGTTTCTCCTCCATATCCCTGTCACCAAAGTCTAACAACTTGTCAGACACCTTCTTCACCACCTGAATCTCATTTATTTTCTTCACCTCATCTTTAGCCGCTGTTTTAATGCTTTGAACATTCACATTGGTGAGACATCAAACATATTCTTCCGTAAGTGCTTGATCTTGTCAATCTTAATAATCATATTCTCCACTTCACTCCAGATGAACGCAAATTATCACTCAAAAGTATCCTATGAGTAAATCACAAATTCTGCAATTTTCTCCTCACAAGTTCTTATTCTTCCCTTCATAACAACCTGGTTTCCTTGACTCCTTTCTTTAATTCTAGCCTGTCAGCACCTTTCCAGCTTCACCCAACTCCCTGGTCCACCTTGACACTATGGTCATTCCTACCACTGGCACCTTTAATAATAAGCCATACCAAATTTACAAACTCCTAAACTTGAATGGACCCAATTAACTACTTTCTCTGGCCCCGCTCCTGGATTTCTAGCCTAACCTTGCTTAGTTGGGCAGTTCTACTTCAAAATGATGCCACCAACCCAAACTCGAAGCCCAGTACTATTCTAAAATATTTATATTACACTCTTCTTCATGTCCTTCCTCTTTTATCACGTACTTATCCCATTCTCCTCTAGCTCTCAGTCCCGTTCTCAGCCAATCATCTTCACTTTTGTAGATTTTTTTTCTTCTCTAGTGAAAAAAGTAGAATCTTCCCAAATGAGCTTTCTCAACATCCCCTCTTGCCATCTCAAAAGCTTTGTTTCTTTAATCGTTGTTTCTTCCTTCATTTCTCTCAGAGAAAAAACTGCCACTTCTTCTCATGGTTATCTTCTACACCTTTGCCCACAATCCCAATCATTTGTTACCATCCTGATGGAATAGTCCATGTCTTCTAAATCTTTGCTCTCTGCTTTCTGCTGCTGGGTCTTCTCAGTCTTGATAAAAATGCTCATTTCTCATTTCATAAAAATGTCATTTGCCTAGAGAGGATTTTTAATTCTATCTTAATCTCTCTGTCCCTTCCTTGTTGAAATTCTCTACCCAGAGGTCTTTATCAGCTGTCTCCATCTCTTCAACACTCCACCATTTCTTAGCTTCTTATAGTCTAGGTCAGCCCTTACTGCTCAGACGTCATAATCACCGCGTTCAGAAAGTAACTTGCTACATAATGACTAATTCAGGAAATAACTTAAACTAATAAGGGTGGGATTTATTTTTCACTGAAAATAATGACATCCTTGCAGCTTGAATTGTCCATATTAGGGAATAGATGAATGTTAATAAGAAAACTGACATTGCTTAGCCACTAAAATGTAAACACTCTACATATTTTTGAATGTTATGAGAAATCACTGTTTTAGAAATAATTCTACAAAGGTATATTTCTCTTCATATCAGATCATAGTTGTTTCTTGAAGCTAGAGTCTACATGCACATAGATTGATCATCACTATTCTGTACCAATTTTTCATGATCAAAAGAGAAATAGTCTTCTCTGATTCACCACCTTCCTATCCCTATCAAAAATAGGAATACTAATGACAATCTCATCACACCTTCTTTTTAACTCCCCACAAATTTTTTCCATGCCTCACTTCTAGTATTTACCCTTCTTTAGTCTGAACTGATTGTTTCAGAGCCTTTCATGTCTCCCCTGTTAGAGTTCAAGCTAGTCGATAGTCACATCACAGAATTTGTATGTTGTAGGCTTCCCAAACATAAAAATTAGGCCCATACATCTACAGCTTTCTGGTAACAATAGGATCATTTTTGTTCCTAATAGCTTTGCCTATCACTCTCTGTTGCTGCCTCCATAAGCTATAATTGATTTCAACAGCCATAGTTGATATCGACATTAATATTCTTCTGTTTGTTTCTAATTATTTTTTCTTCTCCTATAAAATATAATGCTAACTGGTAGTTGCCTCCAAGCACAAAGTGTTAGAAAAAAATCAAATCTATAATTGTGACTCCCAGAAATCATGGAAACCAACTTGCATCTCCTCTCGTTTTACTGTCAATTTTTGTTACTAAATATGTATTTCATTAGATGATTACATAGTTTGATTGGATCCTTATTGGAAATAGAGTTTCTTGTGGCTCCTCATCATGGCTTGTACTTAACTTTATCCATTCCCTTTTGCCTAAAGGTCCCCCAGGTCCACCAGGGATAGTGATCATTGAGGAGATCACCGAAAGCACAGCTACACTCTCCTGGAGTCCAGCTGCTGACAATCACAGCCCAATCTCCTCCTACAACCTGCAGGCTCGCAGCCCTTTCTCCCTGGGCTGGCAAACAGTGAAAACAGGTAAAAGGCTCTAAGGCAACATCAGATGCAAACAGAGAGCTTCCTATGTCATGAGCTATATTTGCTAGCAATCTCAGTAGGATCATTTTGGGATTCTGGAAACTTTGTTATTTACTACAATGTTAACCATTGTTTGCTTCTTTTTATAAAGCTAACTTGCTTTCATCTCTTCTCAATTCCCAAGGAGGGACCACATCAGTTATATTTGTGTTTTTATTGAAATAACTTTAGATTCACATAGAAGTTGCAAAAATAGGACAAAGATTTCCTGTGGACCCATCCCTCAGCTTCCCCCAGTAATTACACTTTACATAACAATGGTACAATTATCAAATCAGAAAACTGACATTGGTACAATGCTATTAACTAAACTACAGACCATATTCAGATTTCGTCAGTTTTTATATGCAATTTTTCTTTATAGAATTCTATGAGATTTTGTTGTATAGATTCAAGTAACCACCAAGACAATCAGCACAGAACTGTTCCATTACTCCAGTTCCTTAAGAGTCACACATCTGTCTTATTTATAAAAAGAAAATCTAACATAAAATTATATTATTTAAAGCAATGTTGCGTTTTAATACCTACTTCCACGATGTTTGCATTATAGTTGCATCGTTTTAAAAATCATTCTCTTCCCTGATGGTTTTCTTTTCATGTTATTTTCTTTTTTCATGTTATTTCTTTTCATGTTAAACTTCCCCTCCTCTCCAAATGCAGCTGTCTGCAGGGAAATGTCAAATTACACTCACTTGATAGTTATTGGATACTTGTTTAACAAGCTGGTATTTGAAAAGTGAGCAAAAACGTAATCTTCAGAGGCAGTTTTCCATACTGAGTAGGGATTTGTGGTTTTTGTTTTATTTTCTATCTAAATATAAAATAAATTTACCTGTGTATAAGTGAAATATGAAATCAGTAAAATATCTGAGTGCAATAACCATAAAACTCAATTAACCAGTATGTTACGGGAGTGGAGTGGATCATTTTGTTGCTAAAATAAAATAAATTTGAGCAGAAACTTATTTTTGTGTAAAAATTTACAATGTAAGGGAGAGGAAATATATTCTGTATGTAACTATAATTCAAGCTTTTCTTGATATTAGGTTCCTAGATTAATTTATAAAATTCAGTTTGATTACGATGATAGTATACCATACATGTATACATATTTATTTGTAATATATATAATTTTGGGTGTTAGTCTCATTCCTGGCTCCATTTTAACCCTGTGATACCTCTGCAGACCCAAGTCATTGGGGGAATTTCTAAGTTCGGTAGATAATTCTGGAAAGGACACAAATTCAAGCCACGTGAACAGCCTTACACAAGAATTCTGATAATCTTCGCCCCAGTGCTCCCATGTCACCCTTAGTGTGACAGTCCAGACCTTTTGCTGTGCAGTCAGGAAATGAATTCACCTTCAGATCTGGGGTTGTGCAGTCACCAAACCCATCCTCCTGCCTGCAGCTTTGCTCCCTGCCCACCCTTGCCACACTGCCCATAAAACTTACTTCTTGGGACGTTTTCCTTGTAGGCACATTGCAATACATACATATATTTTCTTGCTCCTGCCCATGTTCCTGTCCTTCTTACCTTAGCACATCATGGCAATAAAGGACATCTAGGGAGCTGGCCCCGTGGACGAGTGTTTAAGTTCATGCACTGCACTGTGGTGGCCCAGGGTGTCACCAGTTCAGATTCTGGCGCAGACGTGGCACCACTCATCAGGCCATGTTGAGGCGGCGTCCCACATGCCACAACCAGAGGGAACCACAACTGAAAAACTATACAACTATATACTGGGGGGATTTGGGGAGAAAAAGCAGGAAAAAAAGAAAAGATTGGCAACAGTTGTTAGCTCAAGTGCCAATCTTTAAAAAAAAAAAAGAGCATCTAATCTTCCTCCTACTACACCCATAGTTTCCTAGCTACTCTTATTCCTTGATTTCTTTATTCACCTGTTTCTATTTTTTGTTGTTTAATGATAGACAGATAGATAGATAGATAGACAGATGAAAGAAAGAGAAAAATAGATGTGTGCATGTGTACATACGTATACATATAAAAACTCTGAAAATTTTGGCATAAGCTAAGGAAAAGTGAGAGATTGTGAGTGTGTATGTGTGTGTGTGTGTGTTTTGTGTGCGGAGGGCTTAGGCATTTGAACTAAATTTTATTTTTTAGGTTTATTTGTTTTAGAAGTCCCTATTATAAAGTTGCATTTTTTTCGTTCTAATATAATTTGAATGCTGGAAACATTTTTAAGTTCAGAGCTCTTTTTAAACTCAGTTCAGCAAGTAGTTATTAAAAAAATCTATGCTTGTGCTATATAAAGAAATATCTATTTTTCAGAAATATATGTCTATAAATGATCAATATTATTTGCCCTTGATGGTAATTGGGCTCTAGCAAGATGTCTCCTCACCTAGCAAGCTCACTCATTTCTCCGAAATTCAGGGTCTCTTGCAGCTACTGGTAGAGGCATGTCCATGCCCTCCTCCAGGCAAGCCTGCCCAGGAGAGGTCCTCAACTTTTGCATGCTCTTGAGTAGCTGTTCTAAATGCATCCTGGGTTTAGCCTCTAGCTCAATCTGACCACAACTTCCTTCATGTCTGTGATAGGGAAAGAAGCCCCTCTGGAGCTCCACCAGCTCCCCTGGGGCAGTGGGCCTTTTGTTTTCATAGTTGCTCCCTCATCTAAATCAATTTCAGTAAAGACTAGCTCTGATGCAGAAATATCTATTAGAAAAAAATAGATGAGTCGGGAGTTTGAACTCTCTGAGGAAGTTAATTCAACTCATAAGCTAGTTAAAAAGCACTTAAGATTCCTTTATACACCAACATGAATACAAAAAGCAGTGAGTTCCTCATTTTGACAAATGAAGTAATCAGTTCCACATGGACCTTCTAGCTGAGCACATCTGGAATTAACTTGTCAATACTGCCAACCAAAAATCAGGCTCAAATCAGGTGACTGTGAATGGTACTAATTTATTCATTTTGAAGAAAGTATGAAAACAACCATAAGAAATAGATAATTTCACTTGCAGATTCTTTTTTGATTCAAACAGATTGCTTTTGATTTGGAAACCTGACTTTCTTCTTCATATTATTGAGCAGTGTTAGCTGACCTAGTTTTTTACTGTATCTGCTTAGGAACACCAGATCACCTATAATCATAGAATTGATTGGTCATTGCTTACTTAATTCAAATATGTATCTTAACTATTCTTCTATCAGTGGGTATGTCTCTTATCTGTGGATATGTTTTGCAATGATTGATTGGCTGATTAAATTTGTCAACTAGCCAAGTTGATTTAGTTTTACATTTAATTATTTAATTAAATTCTCGGATGCGCTTCTTTTACTAGGAAAGGCATTTTAACAAGTTTCTCTCCCTGAATCAATATGAGGTCCTCCACTGTCTTTAGTTACTGTGTGCTGTCTCTGAAGCAAGCAGAACATTTTCTTTGAAACCAACTTGTCCCCATAGTTCCAGAAAGAACATCTTTATGAAAAGATACCTGCAAGGCTTTAAACATACCTATTTTGGGAGCCAGTCCTGATGGCCTAGTGGTTAAAGTTTGGCTTGCTCCACTTGGTGGCCCGGGTTTGGTTCCCAGGTGCAGAACCACACCTCTCATCTGTCAGTTGCCGAGCATGAGGGCAGCTCACATAAAACAACAAGAAGGGCCTACAACTAGAATACGCAACCATGTACTGGGACTTTGGGGAGGAAAAAAGAAAAAAGAGAGGAAGATTGGCAACAGATGTTAGCTCAGGGTGAATCTTTCCCAGCAAAAAAACAAAGGAAAAACAAAATACTTGGTATACATTCTCCATTATCTTTAATCTCACAACATTACATTTCAAATCTAAATCTTAATTTTATGAAAAAGTTTATTTCTAATTTGTTTCACATTGCATGTTATTTTATCAAAAAATATTACTACTTTCGACTCACGATTTTTACAATTATTTTTAGCCCTTACAAGTAGCAGTGAATTTAGAATTTCTAAATCTACCTTCCCCCATCCCCCTTTTTAAAGAAGGATTCAAATTAAGGATGGTGGAGAGGATGTAGGGTAGAGGAAGGAGTCTTTAAAAACAATAATTATGGGGCTGGCCCCGTGGCGCAGCGGTTAAGCTCGCATGTTCTGCTTCTCAGCAGCATGGGGTTCGCCGGTTCGGATCCTGGGTGCGGACGTGGTACCGCTTGGCACACCAGGCGGTGGTAGGTGCCCCACATATAAAGTAGAGAAAGATGGGCACGGATGTTAGCTCAGAGCCAGGCTTCCTCAGAAAAAGAGGAGGACTGGCAGTAGTTAGCTCAGGGCTAATCTTCCTCAAAAAAATAAAATAAAATAAATAAAAAAATAATTATGGATAAAAGGATATAAATATATGTAGCCTTGGGAGGAAGGATATTTTAATATTTTATATTAATTTTGTTTTTTAACATAAAACCTGAAATAATTATGTCAAGATTAAGACAAAAATTATGCCAGTTTTGATCACACCTGGCAATTCAAACTCCCTTTTCATTCATTCATTAAAAATTTATCAAGCACCTTCCAGGTAGTGTTCTAGGCACTTAGGATCTATGCGTGAACAAAGCAAAACAAAAAGTACTACCCTTGTGGAGACTGTCTTCTCATGAGTGAGGACAAACAATAAAGAGAGAACATAATAGACAGGTAAATGATATAGTATGTTAGAAGTTACTGAATAAAAGAATAAAGACATATTACATTGTAAGGAGGATCATAAGTACTGTGGCAGAGGCGGTATATTAGACTGCTAGGGCTGCCATAACAGAATACCATAAATTCCTTGGCTTAAAAAACAGAAACTTATTTTCTCACAGTTCTGGAGGCTGAGAATTCCAAGATCTAGTTGCCAGCCAATTCAATTCTGTGCCTGGCGAGAACTCTCTTCCTGACTTGCAGGTAGCAGCGTTCTTTACTGTGGCCTCATAACAGCAGAGAGGAAGCGAGCTCTCTGGTGTCCCTTCTTATAAGGACACTAATCCTATCAGATCAGAGCCTCACGCTTAAGGCCTCATTTAACCTTAATTACTTCCTTAGAGGCCCCATCTTCAAATACAATCACACAGCAAATTAGGACTTCAACATATGAATTGGGGGGTGGGGGGCATAATTCTGTCTGTAGCAGACATGTTGCAATCTTAAATAAAGTCATCAGGATAAGCTTCATTCAGAAGGTACATTTGAGTGAACTTTTGAAGGTGTGGATTTAGCTATGCCAATAGCTAGGGGGAAGCAGCCCAGGTAGAAGGAGCAGCCAGTGCAAAGGCATTAGAAGCATTATATGCAGGAGCACTGGAAGACCAGCGAGGCCGGGGCAGAGTGTGCTTTGGGGAAAATGGTAGAAGATGAATTTGGAATGACAGGACCAAGTTATAGAGGACTTGGGCTTTCATCCTGAGAGAAATGAAGAGACATTGAAGGACAGATATTCTAAGTCTTATCTTTTAATATGTTCTTTCAAGCTATGTTGAAAATAGAATATTGGGAGAGTCACTTAAACTAGTTAGGAAGCTATTATAATTGAGAGACAGTGGTGCTTCAGGATGACGGAAGTCGAGGGGGTAAAAATAGTCAGAATTTGGAAATATTTGGAAGATAGAGCCCATACAATTTCCTGAAAACTGGATGTGAGGAGAGTAAGAGAAAAATAATTCAAGGATGACTCCAAGATTTTTGACCTGATCAACTCAAGGATAGAGTTCCTTTCAACTGACATGGAGAAGCTGGAACAGATTTGGGGTGAGAATGGAAGAGGAGTTCAATTTAGGAGACAGTTTCACACGTAGGTTAGACATACAGATGGGGATAAGTAGGCAATTGGATACATAAGTCTGGAGTTTAAGACAGAGGTTTAGGAAAAAGAGGTAAATTAGGAAATTATTGACATATAAATTACATTTAAAACTGTAAGACTGCATGTCATCACTAAGGATATAAGTATAAAGCAAAGAAGAGAACGAAAATCGAGCCCTAGGGAATCCAACAGAAAAATATTGTGAAGAAGAGGAACCAGCTAAAAGATGCAGAGAGGAAGCAATCATTTAGTTAAAAGGAAAACCAAGACAATGTGACATCATGGAAGACAAAAGAATAAAATCTATTGAGGAAAAGAGAATAATCAACTGTGTGAAATGCTGCTGAAATGTCAAGTAAGAGGAAGACTGAGAATTGATCATTGATTTTAGCAATATGGAGGTCGTTGGTGACCTTGACAATAGCAGTTTTAGTGAAATGGTAGGGAATAAAGACTGACAAGAATGGATTCAAAAGAGAATGGGAGAGAAGTTAATATAGATAACTCTTTTAAGAAGTTTTGTTGCAAAGGGAAGTGGATGTCATAATTTGCTTATAGGTTGGAGTACGACAAGAGAGAAAGAAAGGAATCTGGGATGACCCCAAGATTTATGGCTATACCTGTAAGAATGAAATTGTCATTCACTTAATAAGGAATACTCCAGAAGGACATTAGGGAGGTTGGGAAATTTAAGGTTGAGAACCCTATCCAAATAGAAAAATATAATAAGCCATTGGACATATGAGTCTGGAGTCTAGGGAAGAGGTTCATGGCTGAAAATATTGGAGTCATCAGAATATGGAGGGTATTTACACCATGAGACAGGATAAGATCACCATTGAGTAAGAAATGGAAATTAGAACAGGAGTACATCTGGAAGATGGAAAGAAACCAGCAATGGAGACGGATAAGGCATAGTCAGGTAGAAAAGAAACAGAAGTTAGATTTTGAAAAGTATTTCAAAAAGAAGAGAACAATCACCTGTGTCAAAGGATGATGATAGCTCAAGTAAGATGAGAAACAGAGGCCAGACCGTAAGGTTTTAGTGATAGGGCCCACTGGGGATCTTGGACAGGAGGAGTTATGGTAGAATGCTGGAAGTAAAAGCCTGACTGGAATAGATTCAAGAGAGAATAGAAGGAAAACAATCGGAGACAGCAAGTAATAGTATAACAACTCTCAAGAAATTTTGCTGTAAAAGAACACAAAACTGGGTGAAGGCTAGAAGGAGAGGAAATTTTGAGAGTTTGTTTTATTTTGTTTTTGGTGGGAAAAATACCTACATGCTTATGTCCTAATAGAAAATAAAATCTATGAGAGACAATTTTGCAGGGAGAAAAAAAGACAACTGAGGTGGACGGGTTACTCTTCTCTACAATATCTTAAGAGGGCACCCCTTGAGAGGGGTAAAGTTTACTCAGAAGAGATTTAGGTTTTCATTAGATTAAAAAATTAGAAAAATATTCAGAAAGGAGAATGGGTAAATAGGGGATTTTGCTAATGATGGATTATGAATGCCAAAGATCACAGTAGAAGGCTTTCAAGGAGTAGGGAGAGAGTAGAACTGGGACAGAAAAGAAAATGTGCAGAATTCAACGGGGATTAGAATAAAGGGGATGAAGAACGACCTGCATGTCTCGAGTTGCTTGAGGTGACTGAAAGAAACAGAAGTAAGTGAAATAGTGAGGTAAAGTCTGGGGGACCCAAAGCAAGTATTGGTAATCAGTACAGGTTGGGGCTAGGGAGAACTGAGTGTCTGGGGATCTCTTCTTTCCACCTTTATATTTGGCAGGCATAGCTCAGCATTTCACGAAGCAATGCACTCAACAGTGGCTTTTTTTCTCCTGCCTCACAGAATCCAAGAGTATTGCTCAGTTGCTAGTGCGGAAGAGGGGACAGAATTTTTCCAGGTCTTCATTCCATTGCTTCAAAAAATCAGCTCTGCGGTACTGTGAGATTCGTCAGGCAGCCCTCATGCTTATGCTCTGATCATTCACCTTTCACAGAGCTGGTTATTTGGTAACAGTCCCTTGATACTTGTCAAAAGAGATTTTTATGAAAAACCTGAGATGCATTTAATCACACCTTGCCATAGTAAAACTGCACTGTCACCAAATCAAGAGGCCCGGCTGCCCCACCATGCTTAAAGAAATCCAGGACTGATATAAATCCAGAGTATCTTTGCACATGGTAAGGGAGATTCTCCTCTTTCCCCGTGTCTCTTACCTGGGGCAGAGGTGTTGACAAAATGATTTTTAGTGTAGATAACAGCAAGTTATGTTATGGCAATTTATGTACAAAGATGAGATGAAAGAATTCTAACTAAAACAAACTTTGAATGTGCAAATACCTACTTCCTTAAAGACTGATTTTCATATTAGTAGTGAGACCAGAGGTGATACCATGGCCATGTATTACAAGGAAGGATGCATCAGGCTGCTGGTTCTGTCAGTGCCTGTGTTATCCTTGACTGCCATTTGTAATCATTTTCTAGTCCTCCTAATGACGTGAAATCTCCTACCTCTCCATAGTTCCAGAAATCATAACAGGGGACATGGAGTCAGCCATGGCAGTGGACCTGAACCCCTGGGTGGAATATGAATTTAGAGTGGTGGCCACCAATCCAATTGGGACTGGAGACCCAAGCACCCCATCTCGAATGATCCGCACAAATGAAGCAGGTAAGAACTTGGAAAATCAGAATTCTGTTTGGGATACCTCTAATCACTTCAAAAGCAAGTTGAATTAAATTTGATTGCTTGCTTTAGTATAATTTTCCTGATTCACTGACCTAGACATCATAAAATCATTTCCTTTAAAACAATTCCTTTATTTTATTTGTTTTTGGCTCTTTTTTCCACAAATACAAGTGTCTAGATGCTTCAATTTCCTTCCAACCCTCGCTCCCATCTTCAAGTTACCATGAAATTGAAGCAGTTAGCTGCTGCTTCTAATTATATGCTCATTCAATATAGCAAATCCATAAAATTCAGAATGGATAGGCTCACCTTCCTTTTCTCCTGTGATAACAGTTACCTCTAATTACAGTGTACTTCCTTAGAACTCTTTATGTTGCCCTTCCCCATCTAACCGGGTATAAATTATACTGGGCAAAGACAAAACGTAGTCTTTCCTTGACCTACTGCCTTCTTCAATCTATGTGTAAAATAAATACCCATCTGCTTCCTGATTTAGAAAATTACAGCATTGTTCTAGTCTTTTAGAATTAAGTTTCTCTGATAAAATGTTTCTAATGACCGCATAAGGGGAATTAACAGCTTTACTTAAAAATAAATTTTAAGTTTTCTTCCCTATCACCTGGAAGAAGCAGAATAAAGAAAGTTTTAAGTAGACCTTTGATTACCTTGGACAAAATCCTGTTGAGATGTATCTTTTGTGTTTCCATAAAATTGTATATAAAAATGTATCTAGTAAGGCACCAGCTTAGGCAAACACAAATATCAATAATGTCAATGAGAACAATCTGAAAATAATAGAGAAATGTGGGGAGAGATTGCAGATACAGGGAGGGAAAAAAGAATTTTAATGTCTTTATGCTCAATGATAACATATGAATCTCAATAATCATTAGAATATAAGTACACTGAGATTGAGGATTTTGTCTTATTTGTTCACTGTTCTATCTCTCGCACCTAGAACAGTGTCTGGTGTTGGTACTCCTGGGTCTTTGTGGAAAGATTAAAGAGAATATTTCTTTTATTTCTTTTACATGACCCCACCTACATCAGGACCTAGGTCAGAGATACATATACATAGAAGACAGAGAATTAACAATGTCTATTTTGTATTATAGTTATAAAATTGGACCAAAAATGTGATTTATGACTCCTTACAAATTAAATAGAGCTTATAATAATCAAAATAAACTATCAAGAGAGTTGCTTCTTTCTCTAAAACACACTAGGTCGTGTCCTTTAAAAAAAAGAAAGAAAGAAAGAAAGAAATCCTAAATCGTCAGTTTATTGCATTAAGTGCAAATAACCATACAAAAAAATGTTCAAATTCTTTCCATATAAAAATGAATCAGCCAAGAAAATAGAAGATAAAGTAGCCCAAATATGTTGAAAAAGATTCACTCACAGAAAATCTAACTTTTCTGCTTTTGTGATTTCACTATTACAAGTGGTTTTTCTGCTACTTTTTTGAAAGTGAGAATTTTAAATTGAACATTACTTGCCTGATTGGATTTTCATGCATTCATAAAATCAGCCATGCTTTCATTGTGTACAGGTGTTCATTAATTAAGAGCATAACAGGTTACTTGTTCCTGAATTTATATACTCACTGTGCAGATATTGAAATGACTGCCAATAATAGTACTTATGCTCACATATTTTCTAAAAAGCTTTGCCTTACTTTGCATATTGCTAATTGTGTTTAAACAAAGGCAAAGATTACTGCCTAATTCACAGGCTTTCTATAAATATTCATTTCCAAAATAAATAACCTGTTTGGGATGAATAATCCTTTTAGACTTTTTATAGTATAAATCTCCTTGTGCTATTAAAAAAGCATTTTAGCAAAAACACTTTCACTTTTCATGCTAAATTGTATTCAAATGATGCATTTTAAAAGACTTTTCCTTCGTCTATTTCTGCAGCTAGCTCAAACATATAGTGACTGTCTCTCCGTTTTATCATGAGTTCTATATAGATGACATACTTTAGTCCATTAAAATCTTATGGAAGAGAAGAGAAGTAGCATGAAAAATGCATGAAATCCTCTCTTTTGAAAGTGAGTTGAGGAAGGCTTGTACTGCCTACTTTATGTTTCTTGTGCTTTGGTACCACACAGGGCTAGAGCTACTAATGGTGTTGAACCAAGTGTTGAGTTTTGTGCCTGTTTTGTCAGGCAGCACAGATTAAAAGGGACACCAATATCCTGAGACGTCCTCTCAAGTGACACACTCTGCCTCTATTAAGTACATGTCCTGTATTTTAAAAAGTGATGCTGTTCTAATGGACACAGTAAACTTTGAAAATCAATGGAGCTGCTTGGAAGAGAAAAGGTCTCACATTTGGGATATTGAGTTAAAAGTTTTACATCCCTTTAAAATTCTCCTATTTACCAGAATATTCTAAATCCCAAAGCAGCTTTGCTAAAGTATTTTTACCTTAGAATTGCCCCATTCCCACACACCAAAAAAAGTTAATTTTTCTTTGCAATTTCCTCTAAGGTATATTTTTAATTTTCCTCAAGGGGATATTTTAAATTTTCCAGTTATCAAAATGCTCTTAGTGGTCAATAAATATAAGATAAATTGGTTCAGTCTGAATTCTTATTATTAGGATGTCAAAATAGTAATACAAATATATATTTTTACTTTAATGTATATTTATATTTACTTATTTTTTGTTTGTTTATTTTCTTATACATTTTAGTTGGATAGCTGGACAGGGAAATAGAGATACCTCTGTGTTTAATTTTGGAAATGTCTTACATCATCAAACCAGTATATAAATTTGGGTTTAAAAATGGAAATACTTTCTCTGTCATTTAAAAACATGACACTGAAGAAAGAGAATCACATTTTAGGAAATGAATTTGATATATACACTATGGCAGAAACTGAAAAATATTGTTAAATTAAAAATAAATTAAATTATAGTAAAAATATTGGAAATGAATACAGCAACATCAATTCTCACTTAATTGGTTTAATATTCTGTAAGTTACATATTTATAACAGCAATTGTTGAAAGATAAGTGAAAAGGAGGGAAGATAGAGTTAACTCTATAACCTGTAATTTAGAAAGGTTTGGTATTCTCTGTAGTATAAAATTTCTATTATTATCAAAGCTCTTAGTATAAATCTAAATGTTTGCAGTTTATTTCAAATTATGATGAATTATAAAAATTAAATAATAAAATTATTATCTATATAAACAAAGGTTCTACCTTCTATCTCTAATTAAGAGATTGAGTTTGGGAGTTAGGCAGATCTGGATTAATGTTCTTCTCTGCCACTCACTATCAGTGAACATAGGTAAAATAGATATATTGTTTCAAGGCTCAATTTTCTCACTTATGAAATGGGCCTAATATCAATACCTGCTCCTTTGGATCATTGTATTAAATAGGATAATGCATGTAAAAGCTTAGCATAGTGCCTGGTACATGGTAAATGCTTAATATTAGCCATTTATTATTATTATCATTAATTTGAATGAGTTATTACTTTATTAATTTGAAATGTAAACAATGGTAATCACACATAGTTACTTTTTTCATATTGCAGAAATGTTTTCAGGTTAAACATAGGTTTGTCCATATAGTTGGAGCATCCGGTCTCTTGGCTTACATCTGGCTCCCCCAAAATGCTCTCGCAGTGAGAAGTCTGTGCTGCAGAGTGTACCATCAAGCCCTGCTGTTCATCCCACCTGGACTGCCTGGGAGTCAAGAGAACCTTCCAGAGCACAGTGCACTGCACAGAGCTCACCTCTCTCTAAGTCCCCTTTTCCTTCCGTGTCTAGTCTTTCCATGCTGTTTTTCTTATCTAGCGAAGTTGGAGCCTATAAGTGGATTGGGATATTGTCCCAACATCTAGCCATTTTCTTTCACTCTTATAGAATAGATAAGGCAAAAGGAGTGGAGAAAAAGAAGTGTCAAGTGAGAGACTATGCTTAAAAGAATTTGTTCCACATTCAAACAGCTTTCCCATTGCTTTGTACATTGTATTCTGTGCTGCCATTCTCTTTTGACTCTGAGATGAGAAATGTCACACCGATATTTCTGGCCACACAAGGAAAAATAATTTCTCTACATTTAAGAGGTTAATGCTCAACCATATAAGTATGAGTATCAAGTAGACAATCAGATGAAAGTCTTTCCTAGCCTTAGCACTTTCTGGGCTATATCACAGTTAGGTAACTGGTTTACTAAACAGACTGAACTCTGTAGACTTTAAACATAATGTAGTTTTTCCTCTCACCATTGTTCTCCAATATGCTCCATCTGATCTCTGGCTTCAGCCCCAACTATAACCAAGGCATTTTTAGGTACTAGGGCAGTCTCATTCTCAGGTACTAAAAAATTCCATTTTGAGCCAGCCCTGATGGTCTAGTGGTTAAAGTTCAGCATGCTCTGCTTTGGCAGCCCGGGTTCTGTTCCAGGGCACAGAACCACACCACTCGTCTGTCAGCCACACTGTGACAGCAGTTCAGATAAAAGAACTAGAAGGACTTACAACTAAATATACAACTATGTACTGGGGCTTTGGGGAGGGGAAAAAAAACAGAGAGAAAGGAAGATTGGCAACAGATGTTAGTTTAGGGCAAATCTTTTCCAGCAAAAAAAAAGAAAGAAAAATGATGCAAATGGCTTCTTTAAAAAAAAAAATTCCATTTTCATTTAAACAAAAGCTTTAATCTCACTCCCAATTCCATGTTTCTTTTCGTCCATCCCAGCACAGGCTAGACCCAAGGGCTATGATCTGTCTTTTCTTTCTTCTTTCCACTTCTGTCCCTCATTTTCCAATTGCTACCCTGGGCACCTCCCAGGTCAGACAAGAAGAAGAGGGAAAACTACCTCAGTGCTGCAATCTGTGGTTCTCACATGGGTGTTGAGTGCTCCATGTGTTGGCCTTTGTCCACAGGCTGTTTCTTTCATTTGTGGAGTGCATTGGGTTCTTTGGAGACTCTCCTATCCCCTAGCAGGTAGC